AAATCGCATCATATGACCCCTTTAACAGAAAATCTTGAATAAAAATGCATTTATTTGCAATAATCTGAAATCAAAATCTTTTGTAACATTATAAATGTCTTTACTGTAATATTTGTTCACTTCAATATGTCCTTGCTAAATAAAAATATTATTTCTTTTAAAAAAACCTTACTGACCCCAAACATTTGAAGAGTAGTGTATACATACCTGGATTAGTTTTGACACCATCATCTTGCCGTCCAGGTGTGTGTTGGAGGCTTTGTCGAACTCTAAGTCCAAGTAAAGTTTGCAGACGGCCCCTTCCAGAATGACCTCATAGCAGTGCATCAGAGACTGTCTGTGAGTGCTGAAGAGACAAAAATCTCTCATTCACCTACAGCAATGCCTCTAAGTGCATGCACATTGTATTAAAAGTGAAGTAAAAGTAAATTACTACCGACTACTGATTACAGTTTTATAAAATTCCTCATCTGTAGCAGATAACTTTCTTTAAGTAACTTTCCTAAAACTGATTTATACATATCATTATGTGTCGCAGGTACCTGTAATAATGCCAAAGTTCACTGTAGCTGGTCACTAGGAAAATCCTCTGTCCAGCATCACTGCCTTCCTTCTCCAGTGAAAATAAATGCACGTCCTGATAAAGACATAATAAGAGCCAAACACTTTAAAAATAGCAAAGTTATACCTCATTTAAACAGATATGCAACAGCTTCTGTCTAGACCTGTTTAATGTGCTGAGTGAAGGCGATGGCTGCGTTCTGCCGTGGGAAGAGTCTCCAGACAGAGGAGGGCTGCCATGGCCGGGACAGACGGGGCTTGTACGGACAGCTCAGAGGAGAAGACTGAAAAGATGAGGCTCTCTGCTCCACAGACTTCAGCCTGTCCTGCCATTTTCCTCCTGCCATCCTTGCCTCAAAACACTTAAGTATGATTAAATCTCACTCATGCTGTGATGTGATTAGCAGGGGACAGTGAAGAGCTCAGGAGAACTGAAGTCACCTGCAAGCAAATAAAAGTCCATCAGCAAATACACAGCAGATCATAACAGATTACTCTAATACAGGGATATTATCAGGCTGTAATATGAATGGTGTGCATACTAACTATCAATACATATGGAGACAGACAGACACAGAGAGAGAGAGAGAGAGAGAAATACAATTTTACTGGTTTCGGATGAGACAGTAGATATAAAACGTATACAGCAGGTTATAACATATACAATGTATTCTATGATATTTATATATTCAGCCCCTGTACAAAGAGTACATTTAAAGAATGAGTGCTACACATAGTTTGGTCGCTTACTTGCATTCTTCCTTGTGTAGTCCTTTTGTTTTTGTACATTTACAGTCTGAAGCATTTGAACTGCGCGTCATAGAAACGAAGTGTTGCGCATGCGCTGGATTTACCGAGCGCGAAACGGAACTGCTTTGAGTCATGAATATTCATAAGTCGACACCGCCCTCGTCGTTTTTGACGTAATTTTCGTCTTTTTATCTAATTGTTTTCATGTTATATTTTTGTAGATTCATACTATTTATGCATGTTGTTGTACTGTTATTACATAAAGTTGAATTAAATCTAAATTAAAACTAAATAAAAAATATTTACCTAATTAATATTCATGAGCTCCCCTGAGTATGTTGCCAAGCATGCCGGGGGTGCTGTCCCCCAGTACAGCAGCTGTTGGCGCGTTATGTTGAACGAAGGATGGAGTTTATAAGTGCGCTGCAGTTATTAAAATTAAACAGTGTGTCTACAGGTATGGTTTAATTTTTGTCACTAGCATGTCCTAGAAACAATGGCTAAATGGCTTTTGAGATCCACTGTGTGTATTGTTGTAGTAAACCTCGAAATATGTTGAGTTGTATCTGACGCTGTCATTTCGGGGGTTTGTTTTGGTTTCAGTTTATGGTTTGTTATATAATATGTGACATTTTAACGCAAAACGTTTTGCTTTTACCATAGCAGAGAAACGTTAACTAGCCGTTGAAACTGTCATAGTGTTTATAATTAGATGGAAAACAACCAGGGTGACTATATCACTATATTATCATACTATATATATATATATCGCATAATCACAGTCTGTGTCAACTTAATGAGCAGCCTGCAGCATTTATGGGCATTATTAACGAGACAGTGTACATATATTGTTGACATGTTTTAGCCTGGGTGGATGCAGTGTGGGATTTCGAGTTCACCCACACAGAGCCTCTTGACCCTGTTATTGAGGAGGAGATAAAAGAAGACCCTGATGTTTTCAAATCAGTTTATATGCAGCTTTTGCCCTTCTCCAATGAGGATGATGACAATACACAGGTATAACATGTAATGATGCTGTGATTTCTTTCTGCTTCCCGCCACAAAATAGTACATTTGTTTGCGATGCAGGCAGTGTAAATGTAACTTGCTTATGATGTATTTTTTCCCTGCAGAGTATCTGGGTGGTGTTTGGTGAGAATGGTGTCTCTGCAAAAACTTTGGTAGCTGTCCTTTCCTACTTCATCCTTAGTGCTAAAACCAAAAGTCCCAGTCTTGAACAGAGACTATGTGGTCTACAGGCAGCCTCTCTATACTTGTTGCTGTTAAAAATACCTGGTCAGTTTCCATCCCTTGCATCTGGCTGCAGTGCGGAATTCCTTCCTAATGCATGGCATGACACTGATTTCAGGTTGTTAGGCCCTCATGAGTTTATTTGATGTTTTTTTCTTTTTGTCCATCTTTAGGGAGTGTTGCGAATAAAGTGTACCATCAGATTCTTTTTGATACTTGTCTGAACATGCCCCTGAAATGCTGGCCTCAAGACTCTAGCAAGAAACGCAAGAAAGATTCTTTGAAAAGCTCTCAAGGTGATACCAAAACTGGCAAGCGATCCAAACCCCCAAAGAAAGTGTCAGAAGAGGTATAGAATTTTAATTTTGTTTGTTTGTATATGTAGCATTTACACTTATCTTTAAAAGCGTTTTTTCCTACTCTGTCAGTGTGACAGTGGTGTCATGTATTTTGGTGTTTTGTTTCCCAACAGATGGAGATTGATGATGATGAAGAAGAGGGGGTGTACTTTTCTGCACAGGATTTGCTGAAACTAAGAGAGGGCATTGTCTTGCTGGTTCGCACACTTCTGAGACTGCTCGAGAGATTTTCTCTTCGGGACAAACCTCAGAGTGCTGACAGCTGTGTTCAGGTCAGTTAGTGATGACTGAATGATCACTCAGCACTTGTGTGCTACTCAGCCTGCAGCATTTATGGGCATTATTAACGAGACAGTGTACATATATTGTTGACATGTTTTAGCCTGGGTGGATGCAGTGTGGGATTTCGAGTTCACCCACACAGAGCCTCTTGACCCTGTTATTGAGGAGGAGATAAAAGAAGACCCTGATGTTTTCAAATCAGTTTATATGCAGCTTTTGCCCTTCTCCAATGAGGATGATGACAATACACAGGTATAACATGTAATGATGCTGTGATTTCTTTCTGCTTCCCGCCACAAAATAGTACATTTGTTTGCGATGCAGGCAGTGTAAATGTAACTTGCTTATGATGTATTTTTTCCCTGCAGAGTATCTGGGTGGTGTTTGGTGAGAATGGTGTCTCTGCAAAAACTTTGGTAGCTGTCCTTTCCTACTTCATCCTTAGTGCTAAAACCAAAAGTCCCAGTCTTGAACAGAGACTATGTGGTCTACAGGCAGCCTCTCTATACTTGTTGCTGTTAAAAATACCTGGTCAGTTTCCATCCCTTGCATCTGGCTGCAGTGCGGAATTCCTTCCTAATGCATGGCATGACACTGATTTCAGGTTGTTAGGCCCTCATGAGTTTATTTGATGTTTTTTTCTTTTTGTCCATCTTTAGGGAGTGTTGCGAATAAAGTGTACCATCAGATTCTTTTTGATACTTGTCTGAACATGCCCCTGAAATGCTGGCCTCAAGACTCTAGCAAGAAACGCAAGAAAGATTCTTTGAAAAGCTCTCAAGGTGATACCAAAACTGGCAAGCGATCCAAACCCCCAAAGAAAGTGTCAGAAGAGGTATAGAATTTTAATTTTGTTTGTTTGTATATGTAGCATTTACACTTATCTTTAAAAGCGTTTTTTCCTACTCTGTCAGTGTGACAGTGGTGTCATGTATTTTGGTGTTTTGTTTCCCAACAGATGGAGATTGATGATGATGAAGAAGAGGGGGTGTACTTTTCTGCACAGGATTTGCTGAAACTAAGAGAGGGCATTGTCTTGCTGGTTCGCACACTTCTGAGACTGCTCGAGAGATTTTCTCTTCGGGACAAACCTCAGAGTGCTGACAGCTGTGTTCAGGTCAGTTAGTGATGACTGAATGATCACTCAGCACTTGTGTGCTACTTGTGGTTGTGTTGGGGATTTGTGTGAATGTTAAAAGTAGTTTTAGGTACAGCTGTTCATTTTTTCTGTTTTCTGTTAGCCAGTGTGACCCTCTTTGCAATCTTGAGACTATTATGTTGTTAGATAATCAGTTCTCACATAGCATATAAAGCAATGTTTTTGTATAGATCTGAATACGGTTGAACATTTTCACACATTGATAATAACTAGTGCTGTCAAACGATTAATCGCATCCAAAATAAAGGCTTTTGTTTACATAATATATGTATGTGTACTGTGTACATTTAATATGTATATATAAATACACACACATACAGTAAATATTGTGAATTCATTTTTACATTTTTTTTTTACATTTATATTCTTATATTTTATATTATTTATAAATATACTTAACATAAACAACATATTTTTCATAAATATATACATGCATGTGTGTGTATTTATATATACATAATAAATATACACAGTATACACACATTATGTACACAACAACCTTTATTTGGGATGCGATTAATCACGATTAATCGTTTGACAGCACTAATATTAATAACCTTTGAAACATTTTTTAAAAATTACTATTTTTACAATTATATTTACAGAATGCTGAGATTACTTTTATTTACTTCATTTACTTTCAGCTTTTCACTGAACTTACCAACTTTGAGCCAGTCATTGGAGATATGTCATTCTCTCAGGAAAGGTAAATGCAAAAGAAAATGAGAAAGATGAGAAAATGCATTTCAGCACTACTTTTAGTATTATTTAGCCATTATTCATTAATATTTTGAATTGGCTTTTATTTTTATGTTTTAATTTTGTTTTAGTAATTTTATGTAGTTATAATTTAAAAAATATATATAGATATTTAACTTTAATTTGTTTTTATTTCAGTTTTAGTTCTTGTAATTTTAGCATTTCGACTTAAAACTTATTTTTAAAAACGTACTTTTATTTCAGTTTGTTGCAAAGGCAATATATCTAATTTGCATTTGTTTTTCAATTTTTTTCGTCCAATATTTATATTCATCTTAAACTATTTTATAATAAGCTATTCTAAACTATCTAAACTAAACTATTTTAGTATAGTTTTAGTTAACAATATCAACTCGAATGCATTTGTTAAGAGTCTTTTTGTGTGTTTTCAAGGAGTGTCAACCAATTAAAGAGTCTGCCTGAGCTGTCCTACCATGGACTGGGGCTACTTTGCTCAACCATTCATGGTGAAGGAGATGAGGTGAGTATGGGTTACTCCAAAAAACCACTGCATTTTAGTTGCATGAGTTACATTACATTGCTTGATCTTTATGGGTGTTGAATTTTACAGTGCTGTCGCCGAGTGTTCCGCAAACTACTCTATGTTATTCTAATGATGAAAACACAAGAGAGGTCCAAGCCATGTCTCCTTGCTCCATCTCAGACTGTCTGTGGTGCCAGAGACCATGCCATACTTTTCATTAGGTTAGTAACTGTTTATTCCATTCTTCCTGGGGTTCCAGTAATGCTTCATGTAGGAATATTTATGTTCTGTTTTTAAAATTACATTCAATTTCTAAACTTTTTTTTGTCCCATGCTGTGTGTTCAGCATTGATTCTGTGAGTTGTTTATATCTGAATTATGTGTGTCCTGTGTTCTAGTCATATTGTTGATAAGCAGAGGGAGGCCACATTGCCACTTTTACGGATCCTTGTGCAACACATCTGCCATCAGGTATATTTTATTTTAAAACAAAATTTTAACTAAAAATGAATTGCTTCATTTTAGTTATGTCTCAGCTCTCATTGTCATTCCAAACCTGTATGTTGTTATTCTTTTCATGGAACATGGATATTTTTTGAAGAATCCACATCTGTTATGGTCCAATACATAAAAAGTTCTATAAAAGTAGTTTATATAGCTGTGTGCTATTTTCCATGTTTTTTAAAGCAACATACAGAGATTTATGTAATTATTCGCTATCAAATCATTCATGAAAATCAATAGGCAGCTCTCAAATCAAATATCTTGAGACCAAACATTATTACATCAAAGACCTGA